AATCAGTTTTGACCTAGTTTTTAAATGAAATATTTTAAAGCGTAAGTAATTTGAAGGAAAAACTACTAATTTTCAAGTGCTTAATCGGGTTTTGTTTTAATTTATTATTTTTATATAATATTAAACTTACTATATTTCATGAAAATATTTGCCTAATTTTTGAATTAAGTTCTAATAAACATCAGTTTTATTTTAAAATTTTGAAATAAAATGTTATTATTAATATTATCTTATTACTTTTATTATAAAATAAATTTTTCAATCATATTTATAATTTAAATTTATCTATTGTAATTTTTATTATTAAATAAATAACAATTTTCGCATTATCAATGTTTAACTGATTGAAAATGCATAATAAATTTTTTTAAATATGAATACAAAATATTTATTTTACTTTTGGTGGTCAATCTCTAAAATCATGTTAATGGCGATGGCAAAAATTATTATTAAATCTGGGATTTTTCCTGTGAATACTGCGATGTTAATCATTTTTGACAACTAATAAACATAAATATATGAAGAGTATTCCTTGAATGGAAATTTCGCTTAAAAGTTGTTGCCACTAGATAAGGTGCGATCCTTCGCCTATTTATTTCCACTTCCATTTAAGGCTGATTTACATAATTGGAGACCTCCAAATCGATTCTCAAATATGTAGCCTTCGATTTTTTTTCAGCGACGTCTTACACCTTTGCTAGTTTAATCTTTTGATGGCTGTCAAATTAAGTTATGGAATAGATCATTCTTTTGAACCGTTTGGAAGGTCAACTTGTAAAAATCGCGTCTAGAATGCGCAAACAGAATCGTAATATGCACATCCGCGTCCCTCATTTTTACGTCTTAATTTTAAAACTTGGAAGGAAATATGCTGTGTGAAGAAAGAAATCGCTTTGAAAAGGAAATGAGCCTCGCACGGTGTTCACTCCGCCGCCCATGTGTGCGCACATGAGCTTTTCTCGCTGACACTTGACTAACTCTATGTGGAAAAAAAATGAAGAGGCAACGCTGTGGCTGATGTAATAATAACCCACAGCATCCTCTCATTAAGTATGCAGTGGCAGCAAATCCAACAAACACAATTCGACGCTTTGTCCTCCGCGTATTTCTCACTTGTTGACAAATGGAAACTACCAGCATGTTCTTTAATTTGTTTTTTCTTTCAAACCTTCATTTTTTATTATTACAACAAACAAATTAATTTGTGCAATTTTTGTAGAATTTAAATAGCTGAGAAACCTATAAAATTTCAGGAAATTTCTAAACTTGCGGTTTGTTTGCGTTGACCTTAAGGAGATCTCTTTCCCTTTGATGATCGGTTATTTCCTTTCGCACACATGCAGGTTTGGAATTTTCTCTTCGAAAATCAATATTTGATGATTATGCCTCTCTGCAAATTATGTTCAGATGAATTGTTATTGGCCGTCGAGCAATTTGCCATCAGCAGCATCCAACCTCGGGGCACACGCACTCATCACATTATTATTCGTTTCTACTTGTGGTGGCATTCGTGCGTATATTGTTGATCATGCAAAGCAGGTGTTGCTTCAAATCATCGTAAGGTTTCCTTTGTCCTATTTGAGCGGAGAGAGGCAGCAGTGGTGCTGCTGCATAAAATTACTGAATTTTATTAGCGGAGAGACCTGTTGAATAAACAACAACGCTCGTTCGGCTCGTTATTATTGTGCGGGTATGTTACTGTTATAATGGGTGCCATATGCAAACCTAAATGAATAATTATTTTGGAGATGCGAAAATTTTGAAATTTTGTTTCTATTTTAATCAAGTGATTAAAAAATAAAAATAATAAAGATTTATAATTATTGTGTTTATAATTTTTAGTTACAAAAAATCAAACTACAATTTCAGTGATAACTGAATTTGAACTCCATCAAAATTATTGAAGTTGACCTCTTACATCAATACTCGCATAAATAGAGATTGATTCAACCCTGAATAGTTTCAACGTCAACCTCTCAATTTTAATCAATTTTTCCTTCAGTACTCCGCTTACGCACTAAATACCTCTCTCAATTTGATCATAAATTGGCAATTTCCTCCCTCACAAGCCAACTAGCTTGAGTCACATGAATTCGATAAAGAGGTCAAATGTGAAGCAATGAGTGCAGAATAATAGAGCATTAATTTCGTGCATGCGGGAGCATTGAATGTCAAAATCAATATAACGCCATCGACTCTCTTCCATGATTATATAAAAGAGCTCAACAAACCAAAGGGCACCAGCGGGTCGCACAGCAGCTTGCACGAGTGGATTGAATGTCTCTCTCCATTTCCTGTTACTTGCATTTAAATAAATGCGCGATCTCGCCCTGCTTAGTCTCCAGTGGCTGAAACTGGAATTTTTCGCATTTTGCGCTGCACCATTGAAGGAGAGAAAGCCCTTCACATCTGCATCCATTTGTTTTGATTCATTGTTTTGAGGGCAGCGTTAAATTGAGGAGAACTCTTGTAGAAAAATAATCCTGAATTCTCCCAATCAAATTAATTTATGAATGAAAGCTTCCCTAACTAAATAATATTAATTCATTTTGATTGCGTTTTTTTAATTACCTAAGATACTAAAAGACTGATAAAAGAATTTATTGCACTCATTCTTAAAATTTAACATCAACTAATTTAGATAAAAATTTATTAAAAAAATAATTAAAAAGTTATTTTTCCTCAATTTTACTTTCTCTTCAGCACTTTTTTTGATCAAACTTTTCTTGTTTGTGTTGAGAATCAATATTCTCAGATTATATTTTGTGATTTTAACACTACCCCGGTCCATATTCGAAGCTGTGAATCCACGTGTACCCACTTCTGGCAGCACAGTTAGTCAGTCAGTCACCCTCGCTCATAAACGCGTGTGTGCGGCCGAACCCCTGCTTGAGTGGCGGCGGCTGCACAAACATGCATCATATGCACGCAGTTGTTGTTTTTCAGCCTCTCTCTCGAAAATAAATCCACTCTCGCGGACCAACAACTTCCTGCGTCGGCTGAACCAAGAGGGAGTTTAATTCCATAACTTCTTTTTAACCGCTACTTCAATATTCCCCGAGCAATTTTTATGACGTGCACGTCGAGTACGCTTCTTCTCATTCTGCTCTCGCGTTGCACACCCGCATGTTTATAAATAGCGGCGCACTAGAGAATGTTAATGGGATTTCACTCTCAGATTCGTCGCTATTATTCTTGAAATCGGGACGATCAAATGCCCGGCGTTGCTGCACGAGCCGCAGGAATGCATCCAACGGTGGAATACATGCACGTCCGAGATGCTCGCGCGGGGTTCAACGGATTTCAAAAAAAGACGCGTGTTGGATTAACTTTTGGATGCATTTCAAAATCGCCCAAGTTAGCCGGCACGGACTAAAAACAATCTCGGTTCCAAAGATAAATTTGTTTTTAAATATAAAATAAAACGTATACAACTCTTGAAATTGTAAAATTAAATCTAAAAATTCTTAATATTTAATTTTTTTCCTTATTTTGGCAGCTTTGTCTCATGTGGCGTTTCTCCCTTTAAAGAAAGACAAAGGATGCTTATTATCTCTCCAGAGCTGCTTATGTATGCAGCATTTGCAATTATTATTCCTCCCTAGCTGCTTTTTTCTCTCTGTTTGTTTTCTCAAGCCCTTTGTTTTCTCCTGCTTTTCTTTCTCCGCAAGCACTTCTCCGTCTCTCAGCAGTGAGAGTTTCCTCCATTTTTCGTGCTTCTCAAGAAGTCAAGATAAATGAGGCGTCCGCCACTTTGCATTATAGAACAAAGTTCGGTTGTCGTGATGGGGCACATTCGATGACATTTTACTCTTCGCCCGTTCCGTATTTTCTCGGAACGAATAAAAGGTCGCACGCTCACGATCTCCGCTCTGCACGTTCTGTTAACTCCAAGGGAAAATAAAGGAGATTTTTCAATAAAGCAATAAGCACTTTCCATTGTTTTAAGCCATTGTTTCGGCGAAACCGAATCGATCACCTCTTCCTCTCTCTGTGCCGGTTTCATGCATACCATGCAAAGTTCTTCTCAAGTGAATAACCCTTTTATTATTCCATTTAATAATTCAATTGGGCAAATCCACTGATCAATCTTTATTAACTCTTAGAAATCTATAAAGAAGGGTTCATATTTTGATTGTGCATTGTGTAAACATTTGAAAATTCCAATATTTATCATCTTTTTTGTACAAATTTAATTAATTAATATGAAACAGCAACTGTAAATTCATGCGATTATTGTTAAGTAAAATTAACGTAATATCATACTCTTCTTATTAAGTTTTGTAATGGATTGAATAGAATTAACGATAATAATAAAAACAAAATTTAAAAAATGTACTGAAATCAACGTATACCAATTAATATAATTTTGATTTTGTTTGAAGAAGTTGACACTCGAGGAGATGATCATGGAAATTATTTCCATAATTTTGATTTATTACAATAGCCTAAATTAATTGAATTTTAATTAATAACCCATAATTTTGATTTTTTTTAGGGATAGATGAAAAAAAAATATAATTAATATAAAATGATTTAAAATTAAAATAAAAAACACTTAAAATAAATTTTATAATTTTAAACATTTTAAGAATAAAAAATTGAAATAATGATTTATTTTTTAATGGGCACGTGATGAAAAATTAAAAAAAGGATAATTCATTTTGAACTCATTTAGATTTAATACTACATTTTTCTAAGGCATTCAAGGAAGGTTTTTAACGTTACTTTAACACCTTTCAAGCATTCGTTCCTCCAACGACAGTATTTTAATTAGCAGTCAAAGTGATTTCACTGCTTACACTCGGAGCATGACTCAAGTTCCTTAAGCTTGTTCAAGCAAATCCTTTTGCCAAGGAGAGGTCAGTGCCTCTCTGTGCTGTTGACGCAGGGGCTGGTGCGACTTCTTTTTGCCATTCGTTTCCTGCCTCTTCTTCCTGTCCTGCTCACACTCCATTGTGCATCTAAATTAATTGTGTTTTCTCCTTGTGTGTTTGCAGCACGCCAACAACGTGCGAAAAGCGGCCGCCGAGCACGCGCAACGCAAAATGGAGCGCTCCATCAGCAAGGGCAACCCTTTCGAGGTGCGTTGGCCCATCCTGTCGCCCAAGGACGTGCAGTTCAGGGCAAATGTCAAACCGGGCACCTTCCTCGCCAGGGACAACGTCAGCAACTTCATCACCTGGTGCAGACACGACCTCGAGGTCCACGAGTGTCTGCTCTTCGAGACCGACGACCTCATCCTCAGGAAGAATGAGAAGCATGTCGTCCTTTGCCTCATGGAGGTAAGTCACATTCTGTTTTCCCTAAAAACAACTTTTCTGCTAATGACCTATGGAAATTAATCAACAATTGGAAAATGTCTATTTTTTAAATAGTTTACGCTTTTAAAATGAAACCTATTTTTTCTAATAATAAATAAAGAGAGAATATACCAAAAATTAAAATGCAAAATTTAATAAAGGAATATTATTAATCATTTTGTAGAATTAGCACTTACAATTAACGTTTATTTTAATGAAACTACGAGTAATCTTGATTTTATTAATTTATAATACAAAAAAATCATTTGTCCAAAAATTTTAGTATCCAACTTTTTATATGATTGTATTCGACGTTTTTTAATTTAAATTAAAGCTAAAATGTAAAAAAATTAATATTTTACTTTAGGTGGCACGACGTGGTGCCAAATTTGGCATGCCAGCCCCAATGCTGGTCCAGTTTGAACGCGAGATTGACCGCGAAATTGCTCGAGACCAGAAACGTGAACGGGCTGGTTCCACTTCAGGGGATGGAGGCGATTTGCTCAACGGTGTCGCCAATGGCACCGAAAATGGTGTCGATTTGGAGGAGGAAGAAGAGGAGGAAGAGGAGGAGGAAGATTACCCTATTGAATATGGACCCATCCCACAAATTGTCACCAACGATCTGAAGAGCTTGGACGAAATGGTGAGTACACCTGATCTAGTATTTAATTTCTATTGAAGTGTCCGAATTTTCTCACAAAGGAGCAGAATATAAACTTTAATCTTGAATTTGTAAGTTGGAATTTATTAATTTAGTTTGAAAATAATTTTTTCTGATCTTAAAGTTAATTTAATACCTTTGCTGATCAGAATAACTTGTTTGTCCACTCATGGCATCCAGTGTTGCCATCGAAATTAGAAGGACATTGAGTTACTTGCACTTTGCGAAATCAGTTCAATTACGTTAATGAACCAAAAATAACTTCATCTTATTTGAAAAATCGCATGTCATGATGGTTCGCGCAGATAAATCCCAAGAACAATTTTAATCAGCACACAAAACAAGCCTTTCTTGTTCGCTTACCTCGCGCTAAATAGTCTCTACTCGCGGCCTGTTGAGTGCCCGAATCATTTACGTCAATTACGTCCGAGTACCCGAGATCGACGAAACGCGTGTTTCGCGAAGTGTGAAGAGGCAAAGATATGTTTTTGACAAGCTGCGCGGCATAAGTAATGTTGTCTGCGATTTCGCTCGAAAACCAGATATACCTGTTCCACCATGTCACTTAAAAGCTTCGTCCATTATTTCTATTGGGAGCATGAAATGTATTTTTACATTTCGAGACAGAGGCGTTATTTTTATATTTTATTTTATAGTAAAGGGTATCAGTGGGGCGCGGAATGTGGCGGCACTCTCGTGCAGCCGATCAATACCGTCTCACACAGTGAAAGTTGCCTCGGGCCGTGTGACCCGAGCGAGACCCCAAACACGGCTCCGATGACCCCTGCATGGGGTCTGCAGCGCCGTGATTACATTTTATATCTCTCGAATGCACGGCGCGGGTCGCGGCGTGGCGGACACGACTTGCATGGCTCGAGACACTTTCCTTTGGTAATTGGGAATTTGAAAAATGATTCTCATGCAAAACTTTCCTACGATTCATTGAGTCCAATTTGCGCGAGAGCCTTCGATCCATTCAAGATGATTCAGGAGATAAATCGTCTGGCATAGTTCGGGAGTCCAAGCTTAGATTTTGAACTTCCTCGTCATAATTATTTAAAAAATAATTCTATCGATTTTTTTAAAGGATTAATTTAATGCGTTTTATTTATTTTTATTTATTTGACTGGCCTTTTGGTGCTCCAAATTATAATATCTTTGTTAGGATGGAAAAATAAACTAAATTATTTACCTACTATGAAAGATCTATTAAGCAATGCAATTTATGAAGGCCCAAAATATTATTGATTAAATTTAAGTACTCTCAAAACCTTTAAGAATTTCTCTTTTTTAAGAAAATAAAATTAGCTTTTTAGTGTTGTAATAATCAACTTTGGCATAAATATAAAATTCACATATCTTTTTTCCAAAGTTATTATTTTAATTATTTAAACCTTTTAAAGAAAAATAAATATTTAGTTGCATTAAATATTTTAACGCTTGCCATTTTTAGTATAAAAATGTACCTGTATTAATTCAATCTTGATCTTGACGTTGGAAAAAAAATAATAATTAAATTTTAATTATTTTTTCTTTTGTATAATCTCTTCTGTACTAAAAAAATCATGAAGAATTTTCACCTCGGCAAATTTTCAAAACAAGAAAGAAGCGCGCGCATCTCTTGGAAATCTGCATATTTCTGGACCACCGCCTATTTCATTTTGAATACAATAGCTTTGTTTTCTTTTCCACCTGATTTAGTGCTTTTCGGCTGCGAGATTAGCCTCATGAAAACTAAAGCGACGTCCACACAAACGGCCAAGGGAAAGTGTGGGCGTATTTTGTAATGAGAGAGCCAAAGATCTGAATCCTTTCTCGCCACGCGCGCCACGTTCGTAGCGTACGTTTGAATGAAAAGTCGTGATAAGGACAAAAATACCACAGCTGCTTTCTAAAATTTCCTCCAGAAAAACGCTCGTAATAATAATTTTCTTTTCCTCAACGACCTTATCATAAACATAAAAATAAATACCGCGAATTCAAGTCACGTGGGAAAAATATTTATCTTTCTTTGCACCAGCGTCTGAGAAAAATTGAATCGTGATAATTCTCTCAGCTTCTTTCAAAGTCATCAAAAGCTATGTTATTGCGTTTTAAATGATATTTTTTATCTATATTTATATAATTACGGAGTTATTATTCTCACGTGTGTATCAGATTTCACTACTCCAAACCAAAGATATATCAAATTAAGTCGAACCAGTAACCAGGACGACAAGTTTTGCGACAATTACGAGCTTGCGAATATTTAGCGCTGTTACTTGTGTAATTTTTTCTCTCGCGTAACGTTCGTTGCAGAAGTAAAATTATTCTCATTGCATCTCTCGGGCAGACGTAAGGCGCGCCAGATTAAATTTTATTCCGCTTACAATGACGGGAGCCGGTGTGGCAACGAAGATTGGAAAGGATAGGTATTGAAATTCACACCTCTTTGTTTTAACCTTCACGCGTAACGTCTTTAAATAGACGTGGTTTATAATTTAATACATCCTCTACCGGTTAAGTAGTGCATTATGAAACAATTATCCCTCTAAATTAATTTTACCGCCAATTGACATTATTTAAAAATGCAATTTTTTTTAAGCTCTAATGAACTTGAAAACTCTAGGTAATTCCTTAAGTGAACAAGATCTAATAGTGAAGGAAATGTCGCACTACAATTTATCGTGCGGCAGCAACTTACTTTCATAAATATGCAAAACTTCACAAGGAGTTTGCCTATTCAAATGCATCAAGTTCTTTTATGCTTATAAATCGAACGCACTCTTTTGAATAAATTAATAATTATGATCTCAGCAGTGGTCGCGCGTTGAACGGCAATTTTCTTTTAATAATTGCTTTCTGCTCTTATATAGAGTTGCATAAATCGAGTGAGCGGAGGGAAAAATGCTGTCGTTCGTGAGTCTCATTGAAAAACGCTCACGCAAAAACTTTGTTAGGAAAACACTCGTTTTGCCCCGCTGAGCGAGCGAGAGAAAAATAAAAGCAATAGATCAACTACTGCGGCAGTGCGTCACGCGTCATTTGCATAAATACCAGCGCGAGTAAATAAATAAAATAACTAAACACAACGGCAAGTGCATTTTATTGGCGTGTGGGCCGCCGCGTCTTGCCTTTTGTATCGCTTGCAACAGCAGTTTCGAGAGCTTCGAACGAGCTGAATAAATCAATGTGTGGTATATAAACGCATCAGGCAGAGGAAAATGCATCAGCTATATTTTTATAACATTAATTTTATAATTATAAAAAAATTTCCACAGAAATAAGCATTGCAATGCGTTGTAAGCTAAAAAGTTTTATTTAAACGTTTATTATCTTCATTTATATTTATTATAAAATATTAGTTAACAAAATGTTATTTTAATAAATTTTTATATATAAAAGCTTATTTAAAACATTTATATTTTTTAAATAATAAGTTAAACACGCTTAGTTATCAATATAATCTATGTTTTATATAATACAATAATTTTTATAAAAATTTAAATATAGCATAAAATAAACCACTCTTCGTGGGTTTAGCAAACCTGTAAGAAAATCAGTCAGATGAGAGTTTCAAATTTATGCACACATATTAAAAATATAGAAATTAGAAAATGGCTTAAATTAACAGTGATTTCAATTTATTTTTTACTAACGTAGTTTATTTGTCCGCGTTTCATTTTAAGTGGTCGTCGTGTTTGGTGCGGCAAGACCGTTTTATATCGGTTAGAAGCTCGGGTTACGAGAGCGACCACAGGTATTTATTTCTGCCTCTCGCGCTGTCAACTGTTAATGCGCGCGCGACTCTGCTACTTTATGCTTTTTATACTCTTAATGCTGTGCATCCAATTATAGATTGATGTTGTCGCTCTCCACATGACAAGCAGAACAATAACTGCATGTGGATTCCCAATAAGCCGTCCACAAATAGACACAAAACGCCGTTGCTTATTTCATTTTATCTCAAAACAAACTTTATTTATTTTGTCACTTACATAAAAAAAGTGATCAGAAAAAATGACACTAAAAATTTTTTTAAATGAACTGGGGCGATTTCTTCTCACTTTTGCATAGCTGTGCTTGAGGGGTTGCTCTGTTCCTCAATGAACACCTTGATGAAAAATTAAGGGAGAAATGTCAAGTTCTTGATGGGGAAACACGTTGTTCAATATTATATATAGGAAGCCGTAAAGTGTTCGATTTAGGTCACAAAGAAAAACATACATTCTTTCCAACTGAAACACAATGAGAAATTTTAAACATTGTTTCGATTCAGCAAAGATTTTTATTTTAAAGCCACGTTTTTTAAAATTAATCTTCTATTGTAATGAAGGAAAGTGCGACTGGCGCCAAAATGCCTTTTGGATGAGAAATTACATGAAAACTGGAATCGTCAACAATTATTATAAAATTGCTCCACTTCAACCCAGTCATGTTCAAAACACTCTCGTATTGGAGCTTATTTTTTTCTCTTGCGCTCTTGTAAAGCTTCAGCTTGGCGAGATCAAAGAGTGATGTGTGAAATCAAACTTGACTCGCGTGGCCTTTGTTAAATGCAAATCAATCTCGCGTTGCATAATTCCAATTGCGCTGCAAATGTCATTCCTGCTTCATCATCACAACTGCTTTTCGATACTGATGCAGTTCCTGACAGGACGTTTATATATTTTTTGTTTCTCGTTCGGAAGGTCAAACTCCGAAAAAGGGCACCGCCTTAATTTGCCTCTTTTAATTATGAAATCTCTCAGCCTTTAGAAATAAAACAAATCGGCTTCTTTTAATAAATGCAGGCGTGACACTTCCCATGACAGAACGTGTCTTGAGCAGGAAAATGAAAACCTGCTCGAGTGTTTTGAATTTCATCAAACGCCGTTTCTCGATAAAAATGCTCGTTTCCGACTTTTATCGTAAATAATTCAGCACTTCTCAAAAATCGGCTGCTTTCTTGCTTCTACTGGCTGAATCGATCTGCTAGCTAAGTTTCTCTCGGCGTCGTGAGC